TCTCTTTTGCCATTTAACTTACAGCTTACTCTACCACAGTCGTCATTCTACAATTCAGATCTGGTACCATTATATGATATACCTTCTTCCTGCCTCGGTCGCGATCTCATTTCGAACCCGAACCAGCTGGAGGATGATGGCCCGGTACTTTTTTTTTTCTACTCCGTACAGCTCCAAGCACACTAAACCACGGCTAAGGGGCAACCAGCTCGCTTTGGGGCGGGGTAGCAAATCGACGGGAGTCTAGATACCTTCTGGAGCCAAGGGCCACACGGGAGGGGAAACAATGACCGTGACCGAGACACTTGGTTATGACGGATTGACTTTCCGAGCGAGTAATTGATTGATGGATGAGCAGGACGAACGAATAAGCAGCACATAAGAAAAAAAAAAAAAGAACAGAAACATGATGACGGGAATGGGAATGGGAATGGGAAAGTTGGAAGGCACTACTGAGTAACATGACAGGCAGCAGAGCAGAAGCTCGGCCATCGATGGAACGCCCGCAAGTGGGCCGGGCGGGCCCCTCCAGCAACTAACATCGATCGCCAAATGCTCCGGCCATTATTATTTCTTCTCTGTAACCCCAGCAAAAGTATGTTCGCGGACACCTTCGGTGACTTCCAACTCCCTCCTTTCATTCTCCTTCTTCCTCTTGTTCCCTTCTCACGTCCACCTTCTCTCTGAGACTCTGAGGCATCTTAGCAGCATCAATCGGAACTCTATCAGGAAGACCAGCAGCAGGCTATGGTTGAATCTGGATCAACCGTCGTTGGAATTCTTCAGCGGAACGAGCTTCGTGCGAACCAGAACGATAGCCTCTTCAGAGAGCGTGGACCGAACCGACTGTACACAAATGACACGGGTTAACCAAACTGTCCTACTCAATTAGTTGGGTTCAGAGTGAACAAAGAACCTGTCCCCCGCGCTTATGCCATCACCCCGAGCCAGCCAAACCGCATCTTACATCAGTGTGGCCGGTAAGGAAGAAGAGAATAAATGACATTGTGCAGCAATGTGCAGAATCCTCATGCATGCAATAAGACGAGCGATGGTAATTTTGCAGTATTTGGAACACTCTCTTTTTCCAGATACAGTACTTTTCCAACAGAGTTCATCCGCCCGTCTGCCCAAGAAAGAACCTTTCAGGGGGGAGGGGGGGGGAAGGGATACAGGACCGGTTGGGTGTCATCAGGGACAACTCGTCAACGTCATTCTGGCGTCGGAGTTTCACAAGCATGAGAGCTTTAGGAAAAAAATAAAAGAAATGTGGGTATGGAACCATCAGAGCCAGCAATCAGCTGGGAGCTCCCTGCCCCTGGTTCAACCCATCTCCTTCTCCTGTGCTGTGAGTAAGTTAGCATTAGGTACGGAGTACAATACGTACAGTACTTTACCTCCACCAGACATCAGCCGTGCCTGCGTTACATAATGGCCACCCTACGGACGCCATGCGTCGGATTGCGGGGGGAGAATCATCCTTCCAAGTGCCCCGGAGGCCCCAAATGCTCACCATTCATGAGAGGAAGGGAGAAGGGGGGGGGGGGGGGGGGAGTGACTATTCATTGGTCTCTCTATGGCCCATGCAGGATCGCCTCCGTCCGAAAGTGCGGAGAGAGCTTTCCCGCTTTGAGAAACCCCCCGTCAGCCCTCCGTCTTTTTGCCTTTTGCCCCCAGCATGCATCGCATCAACTCAACTCAACTCCTCTCCTCTTCTCTCTTCTCAGTTTCACACCTCGATGAGTTTCATCCTCTCCTTTCTTGAAGTCTGGAGCATAGGCAGAAATGATTCATGGACTTTGGAACGTGGTGAGATGATGGCAGTGGTGAATCAGAGTTCGCGCAAGTTGAAAGAGAAACTGATAGTGAACCGGTCTCCATCCGTGGTTCTTGGACTCGCTTTTACGGCCCAGCCTCTCAGAAGCCATGGGCGTGTTAGACCCCGGTCCTCCCGGGCCAACTGGTTACACTTGCTCACGACGAGCGTGAGCCACCACCACCACCACCACAAGCAAAGCAAGTTTAAACTCCACCCCACTCGGGCGAGATGGAAATCAAACAACTCTCCATTCCCACTTATCCAACTGGCTCGGATTATCAGAATGTGCACCCCTCATATATGCCAGTAGTGAGAATCACAACCCAGCCTGAACCACCTCACCTCAACCACAATCCCAAAGTCAGGTGAAAAGCTCGCCACACCCTAACCTACTATGTGGCTTCTCCGCAACCCATGGGCATACTGCCTCTCCTAAGTGCCAGCCAAAAACCGAAACTATATTATGACTCAAAAGCCGCCAGGTACCACCAGAGTCAGGGTATCCTTCTCGCCTTTCCTGTCTCGAATAAGGTAGGGTTTATGATCGCACGCCTCCCTCCGGATCCGAAGCGTGGCGATTTCCCCTCTGGCATGTACATGTACTGTAGAAGAGATCTCGTCTAGACTAGACCACAGCACAGCAGCATCCATTGTGCTGACGGAAGGAGCATGACCATCTCACACCGAGCCCGAGCTTCATTGGCGGGCAAAACCTACCACTACCTTAGGACCTAGTACTACAGCACACTGTGTGTCCACCCTTTCTCCCAGGGTGATCCCATTCCACAATCCAATGCCATTGACCTCTGCCCTCTGCCCCCTCCAGACATAAGGCATGATGTCATACCACCTGAGAGACCCTTAATATCGACGTAAATGGCTGCTCGGAATGGAGGCCGGGGTGCAAATGAGAGGATGTCCGGACGGACAACGACACCACACTACGTACACCCCATACTTTGGTTCGGCAGCAGACGACCGGTCGTCACTAGCCTCGACGCTTCCCCGGGTTTGGGAAGGTATTAGTTCGAAAGCTTAGCGCTGGACCATGAGTAGAGAAACGTCAGATTGAGGACTAAATAATGGAAGGATGGGAGGAATTCCTTCTCCCCCCCCCCCCCCTTCCCCACGGCGCCTCGGCGGGTTGCCGAGGATAGCAAGCATAAGTATACTTCAGGTTTGGGGTTATGGTGGTGGTGGGGAGGGGGCGACTGCTGTACAGTCGGGCTAGAGTACATGCCTGAAGTCAAGACGGTTACACGGCTTCGGTGGAGGGTGGAGGTATGCAACATGAAGAATTGTGGGAAGCCCCGCTGTTTCTATTCAAATGGGCAGGGGGTGAAGGGGCGTTTTGCTGCCATACCTAGAGTTGAGGGTCTGCTTTAGTTCATTTGACGTCTCTCTATCTTGTCTTCGACAGCCAAAAGAGACAGACAAATGCAGGTACAGCACCAGGTGTGTACAGTACCTCACGATGCGCTAGCTAATTCTTCTGGGAGGTCCTGATTAAAGTATTTGAGAATGTGTAGAGTTGGTTAAATCTAGTCTAAGCCACATAACATAACAAAGAATATGCCCGGTATATATCCAATCTTGCAAAAATAAAAATACAGAAAGTCTGCAGTGCCGCCACTAAGGAGCCGAATCCAACGTCCCCTTACCCCCCGTCGAAGCCGTAGCATCGGGCCCCTTCTGCTGACGCAGCTTCTGCTCGAACTTGGCGAATTCGTGCATCGAGATCTCCTCCTCGGGGTCCATCACCTGCTCAACACCTTGGACTTCCTCGATCTGTTGGCCAGTTCATTAGCCAATCGCCCACGTTCTCAATGGGAAGGAAAGGGAAGGGGGGGGAATATACGTAATGCATCAACATAGACTCGATCCCATTCTTCAGCGTCACCGTGCTGGAGTCGCAGGTCCGGCAGGCGCCGCGCAACTTTAGCAGGACGATGCCATTCTCGAACCCGCGGAACTCGATGTCGCCGCCGTCCTCCTGGATGGCCGGGCGGATGCGCGTGTCCAGCAGCTCCTTGATCATGCCGACCACCTCGTCGTCCTCCTCGTCGAAGCGCAGCGAGTCCGTCTCCTCGCCTTGCGAGGCCTCGCCGCCCGTCTTGGCGACCGTGTTGACGATCGACTCGCCCGACGTCACGGCCTGCGTGATCAGACTGAAAACCTCGGGTTTGATGTGCGCCCAGTTGGCGTCGGCGGCTTTGGTGACGGTGATGAAGTCGGGCCCGTAGAAGACCGAGGTCACGCCCTCGACGTTGAGGAGCTGCGCCGCCAGCGGGGACGGGTGCGGGGGCGCGAGGGTTGAGCGTGGGGAGAGGTATTCGAGGAAGGTGGTGGGAAAGTTTTCGGGGAGGACGCGGTGGTTGGGGATGAATTTGAGGGCCTGTCATTTATGGTTGGTTAGATGGTCGTTCACGATACCTTTAGTCGGTCGAAGGGGGGAGAGCGGTACGTACATCAGGGTTCGGGGTGTTCTCCGTCTGGATGAATATCGTGCGCTTGCTCGTCGGCGCCGGCCCGTTCACTCGCGCCTGCACGAGGGAATGGTGGTGAGGTTGCAGAGTAGGCCGGCGACGGGTCTCGGAGGGAGTGATCGCGGGCAATCGTGCGGAACGGTGGACGCTGCGGTAGGATCCAAACACCGCCGGCCGGGCGAAGCGCGAGGCCTCGAGAGCGCTGCTGCCAGCACCGCTCGTCAATTTGCTGCCCAGTAGGGCGGTGCGTCGAAGCATGGTTCTCCCGGATGTAGAGTTGACGGACATGGTGTGCCGATTTGATTGATTTGGGGGGCTTTCAGGCGCAACAACTGGTCGAATGGTCTTCCGTTGGTGGCTAAAAACCGTTCTTCGGAGATGTTGAGAGATGCAGGACTGATCGATAATACTTTCTTCCCCGACCGCTCCGCCTCTGACGCAATGATCTGCACGTGACCTTCGGCATGGAATTGATGACAAATTCGGGACTGTTGGTGGCCAATCACAATCTTACTGTTTGACATCTTTTGCCGATGCCGGGGAAGCCCCGGTTTGAAAAGTCTAGATTATACTGTGCAATGTGTGGTTCGGGATTGGCCAGAAAGTGTCAAGGTTGCCCAACCTTCAGTGGATTGATACTGCTTTGTGATTCGCATGAGTAGTTGACTGAATGCCCATGTCTACTATACGCGGCATCGGTTATTGTTGTTGTGGCGACTGCTTCTCAAATCTAGATTTACGCGAGGTTGACTGCATGTGAACATCAATGAGATTATCGTCTCCAGGATGTGGACATCCAGTGCCGCAGATCCTGGAAAGAATAACTAAGTTGGCTATCGCACTCTCCTAGCGATTTGTTTGAACAATCGCATGGAAAAGGGCTGCGTTATTCTGGAGTACAGGGAATCACTGTAAATTTTTGGCCATGAGCGGCGAGTGGACAGCAGTCAGCCTCTAGACATGTTGTTGAGGACGTCGGATACTTCCATGCCTAGTGCATGACTGGGCGGAAATCTCACTGTCAGGGTGGCTGCCAAGAGCTGTCAGTCGAGCAGCCGCAACTAAAGTCGATGATATTGTGGTTGTCTTCTGTTTGTGAACAAACGCCTTAAATAAAGTGTATGATCGGCTGTAGGGCGACCGATGATCTGAGGACTGACTTAATCCTCTTCAATACGTGAGATTTCGCGCACCTCGAGGAAGAGAAGGGAGAAGAATCAGTCGATACGTCAGTTGAGAGACGCATATCGCGCGTGAAAAAGCCGACTGAGAGGTGCAGGCAAACAGTCCTTCCAAGCTTATGCTGCATCGAAGCAGCCGGTGGAAGAAGACCTGTGTAGCTGGCCACCCCTCCTCGACCCCCCGTCGAGCGACCTGCCAGCCTGTCGGTAAGTTCTTCCACGGGCTCGGGTTGCACCGCGCCACACGACGGGTCTATTTGCAAGGCCATCACGCAACCACTCTGTTTAACATCCGCCGCTCGAAGCTTGAACGACGGCAAGCGGCCTGCCAATTGACCCAGAAAGTCGAGGGAACTGGCAGACGGTGGAACAACTTTCCGGCCACGGCTTTCTTTCGTTTTTACCCTGACACACTGATTGGTGCTTGCTGCTGCCCTTGTTACATGTGCAATCCATGCGATGAGTTCCGAGGGGCGATGAGTGGATCGATTCATGCTCCCATCGGATTCCAGCAGGGTACAGAGGCATCCGTGATACTGAGGCAAGCGTGGGTTTCCCACCAGGCGGTGGGAGCTGAGAATGTATCTGCCTAGGATTCTGTCTCCAATCGATTCTGCTGTGTCTTCTTTCCAGCAAATCGCTGCTTATTCTGTATTTTGACACTGTACCGAGGCCGGTGATGAGGGGCGCGATGGCTAACTATAGCCCAGGAGTAGGTTTCTCCCCAAACAAAGGCTCAGGGAGGGTTTTCAAGCTCTTTCTACCATGTGCTGTCCTGCAGATACCGCCCGATCTAGGGGCTAGTAGTGGTCAAGCAACAGCATCATTCGATCGAGTCTTTGGGTTGATGTTTTGGCGAAATGTTGGATCACGAAGCTAAGAAGAGAAAGCTGTAAAGTTATATATATTCAAGCGCTAGTTCCTCTTACGGTTTAAAGTCCTGATAAGCGTTCTTTACCCTGAGACATGACCCAGATTCCTGGATGTATGCGAGTCTAGATTTCATTTATCTTTGCTTTTCAGCCTGGGTCAATGGTGTAAGCTGTGATGGCTCATGTAGTCCTCGCAATTGCACCGCACGTTATCTTGACGGCGCGGCGAGTGTGACCGCCTTCCCGAGAAAACCGCGCTAAGCCCAGAGTATTCCCTCTGGATGCAACTTGCAGCGGAGCACATGGTCGAATCTTTCCCCCGTGGAGATCGAATCGACCCGGCGTGACATTTCTGCTTGGTTCACCTTTCGTTGTGACCGGCTTCCGCAGGACGATGGTCCTCAAGGTTCATTTATAGCGCTACTAGCACGCCTCAAGACTGCGAAACAGACGGGTAATAAAATGCCGGGCACTTGCGAGGTCTGCGTGTCGGAGCCTTCCAAGTATCGATGCCCGACTTGTGGGCTGATGAGGTATGTGAGCAAATTTCCTCTCTCGCGATGTCTCTCGGCAGCGCGGGACGAAGAAGAATTATGTGATCCCGGACAATCACTTATTGTAGTCTTCTAGTTGCTCCCTCGCATGCACTCAATCACACAAGATCTATTGCGCCCCGAAGGCACTGCCGCCGAACCCGTCGGAAGCCCAAGAACCCTCAGCTGCAGCCAATGGAGACCGCCCCGAGGCTGAAATGCCTCAGACGGAGACTGGTCTCGATATCAAGTCCTTAGGCACCTCCAGTCAGCTCAAGGAGCTCCTCGATCGCTTTCCTTCTCTGCGGGATCAACTGCAGGACATCTACCAGGCTACTTTGGAGGAGGAATGGCAAGAGAATCAACCGTACGTCGGTCGGCACCGGGGCTTTGGGAAAGGTAGAGCGACGCATCGTCATCGCGGGCCGTGGACGCGTGAGAAAGGGTTCAACCGGGGAGTGGGCAAGGTCAGAAAGCTTCGGGAACGATGTGAAGAGGGGGATGAAGTAGGCCAGAAAGCAGAAGGCTATATGCGCTTCATGGCCTTGATCACGGGGAATCAGCTACCTGGGGCTGCATGAAAATGTGCCTGTCTGGTTTTGTTGGTGCGTCTTGCAACGAGAGGCAAGGTGGCAAACTACGCTTCCCACCGGAAAGGTGCCAAGACTGCACGCAGTGCAGGTTTGAGCTTGGCCAGCCGACCAGCTCGATGCTGCTTCACCTAGCAGCCAGCCGCCTTGCTTCTCACCCTCGGTGATACGTGTGGGCAAACTCGCTGGAGAAGGCGGTGTTGTCCGACGAGTCACGACAGCAATCCCATCGCAAAAGCTGCGTGTATATAGGTAAACAGTATAGCCTCACTCAAAGGCCACCGCAAAGCAATCGAATTCCAAAACACTAGCCAGGATGACCAAAATGAGGAGATACCACGTGTACTGTCGCGTAGATCTGACTCAGGATGGAGCTACAGGCGATAGTTTGTCGACCAGATAAGCTGTTTTTGCCGCCACGCAGGCCGATCGTCGTGGATGGAGCAGTCAAATGATCATACCCCGTAGGTAATCCAGACTCTGGGGAATACCAGAGGGCCAATGGCTGCTCGTATTGTGCGGATAATCTGGGGTCACCCTACCAATAGCATAATTGGGATTGCCCTGGTCGCCGGTCGCATTTCTAGGGGTTTGAAGATCAGGCTGTCCATGGACATCCATCCCGAGCGATTTACCCGCACGAAAAGTGGGAGCGGGGGAGATCGCTGTGGATGGATTCCTTCTCCGTATTCAACGGAGTGATCGTACTGTAGTCACTACCACGGTTGTCCATGCCGGCCAACTGGGATTCGCCGCAGGTTTAATCTAAAGGAAGGATTTTTTTCTGCTCTTTGGAAATAGATCATGTCACAATTTCTCCAAATGGTGGCTGACTCTTGGCTTGAGTCGCGTACATTGTTGGGAAGTGGTAGTGGTTGTTGTTGGAAAGAGGACCGGAGGAAGATGTGATTGGGATGAATTGGATTGCCGGGGGATGGAAACCAAAGGGAAAGTTCGCAACTTTGGACTTCCCGTCGCTCGCACTCTAACAATGACCTTGACTACCTTGACTACTGCCTTCGTCCGTGACTCTTACTTCCTTTCTTCTCTTTTACCGACACTCAATCCCTCTGTTCTGTTCCTTTATGTCCGGCCCCCTGTGTGACCAGACAGGATTATTCGGCGACCAAGTACCGAGTGTCCGTCAGTTCATGTCAGTTCATGACTAGGTACTGACTTAGTACTATGCCTCGTGTTGCTAATTTTAATTGCAATCCTCCGCAGTAACATTAGTTAGCAAGCAGCTTCTTATCTAGCTAACTAGCCAGGTAGGACTAGGCCCCCAGAGGCCTCTCGCTCCCATCTACGTCTACTGCTCCGTCGGCCCCCAGTTGTCACTACTACTATCAGGTGCTGTACCAGACCACCTAACTACCTAAGGTACTGTGTGCTGTCTATCCGTCTCCTCCGATTCTCGTCTCTCCTCGGTCTTCTTCTTCTTTTTTTTTTCTTCTCTCCCTCCAGCCTCTTCCCTGCCCTCTCCGATCTAATTGTACTGTACCTATCGCCGACTCGGTACCTCCTCCTTTTTCCTTCTTCTCCCTCTCCCTCTTTCCCCTCCCCCCTCCCTCCTCCTCCTCCGCATCATCCTCAACAATCTGTTCAATAAATCTCTCGTCAGACTGTGCTACCTCAGTCTGCTTCCCCCTCCTCTCCTGCCCTGGAATTGTGAATCGTATTCAATCCCACGAGGGGGTTCAGCTGGATTACTACCAGTACCCAGGAGGGATCTTGTTACGGCTGCAGAAGAGACCAATCAGAAGCGGAAGAGAAAAAAAAGAACATCGCTCCGGGCCAGACAACGGGCGGCGGAAAAACGACCAAACAAAAGATTCCCTTCCCCTTCGACTGAAACTGGTCCTACGCAATACTCCCCCTCTAAGATCATTTATTTTAACCCATTTCATTTTTCGAAAATCTTCCGTTCGATCAATTGATTGCGGTACAAAACAGATTTCAATTGCTGATCCTTCCTCTACCGACCTTGTGCGAGCGACAATGGATGAGCTGCTGTGTCCGCCTCCCTCACTTACCTAGCCGTTGAAACCTCACGCTGTCGCACCTTGTGTGTTTGCTCGATCGGACCCTCATCTGCCCCGCGACCACCCTCTACCCGTTCGCGCACTGTCCTCCCCCCCCCTTGAACGACCCCTCATGAATTCTCAACTTCCGAATAGAGAGCGAGCGGTATCTAGCGATAGAGCCGAGGCTGCGCCCGTCCCGCAGAGACCGGGGCTCCCCAACCGCACCATCTCCGCTCCCGTTGGGGGCCTATATAAGCTCGATTCGACCAGAATGGCCATGGACTCGGTCAAAACGGAGCGGACTCTGGTGGAGGAAGATGAATCATCGCCCTCGGTGGGAGGGAACAGAACCTCGTCCGCTCCCCCGGGTGAAGAAGTGAGCCGGTTCCTTTCACTGTGGTTTTATTTCAAGCTATATCCTTTGGCAAGGTTGTCTGACACTCAATGCCATTGCAGATGAGGCAGCAACTGCCCAACTCAAATGGAGGAAATGGGATTCCGTCAACTCACACCGGCAATGAGGTGAGCCTACCCTACGAATACGTCTTGCGGCATAGCTGACCATAGTCTTTGACGCAGCCCGCCCCGAAACCGAATTTCCCACACGTGAGCATCGCCGTGGTTGGCCCAGACCATGTGGGTAAATCGACTTTCATTGAAAGCGCACTGGATATGAAACACTCGCTCTCATCCCGGGCAACGACAAAAAAGATGTCCCTTGATGGGACGGTTTACCTTGTTCGGTTACTGGAGATTGATACACTGGAGATCTCGATTGGAAGCAATGGTGAGATCCAATGGCCAAAATTAGGAGGCGATTCACCTCCTTCCGTGGACGGTGTGCTTGTTCTCCACGACGTCACACAGCCCGGGAGCCTTTCCAACATCAAAGGATTGCTAGGTTTGTTCTCTTGTTCTGAGCTACAAGAGTATCTCGATCGAGGTGGAGATTTGTATGCTAACAATTGCAGCCTCTCTGGACGCCTCATCCATACCTTTTCGACTGGTCGCAAGTAAATGCGACATTCAACCGCCCCATGGTCTACTTGAGCCAGTCTTAGATGGCTATGAGATCCTCCGCACCTCCCCCGATTCGCCACGGTCGCAGAAAATGTGCATCGCTCTGGTTTTGCGATCAGTCATCAGCGAAAGGAATGGTAAGTGTTTCAGTGCAGATATTCTTTTCCTTTCCCTTGAGTCTGGAGTCGAGTCCACATTATTGGCGGCGGTCTTTCACTATAAGTGCTGTCTGTATACCCACGGTGTCTGTGTCTCGCGTGACTCCATGAGTCACCCAAATTATCCACTTTTCTCCTATGTCGGCTGTGACCCGTCCATAGCAATGGTCCACCTTATGTCGCGCTAGCTCGCGGCTCGGCTGCGCCTAGCGTTCGCGTTCGGACTTCGGAGACCCGCCCGTCCCCCCAGAATGCAGGCGCAGCAGCAACAGCGCCACCCCGATTTCCCTTTGAATCTTCCGACTGGCCTAGAACCTTCTGTGTCGATGCTAACTGCGGCTTGTAGCTGAAGAGCACTCTTCTGACAAGACGGTCACACCGGGCTGGCGTCATAGCCGTGCCAACTCAGAAAACCCCACAGCCATGTTCTCGGGAGCCGCAGGCGGCCCAATAACAGGAGCTCTGGACTCGAGGATCGATGGGTACGGTGTAGATCGTCAACTGACCGACTCAACCGCCTCTAATGGCCAGGGCCCACGCTATGCCCGAAGCAATTCTCAACCTCTACGACCTCACACGCCTCCCTCGGGACGACTCAACCAGCGCAAGCAATCCATCCCGGGAGAGTCATCGCCCGGCAAGGACTTTAACCGACAACATCGACTTCATGCCGCCTGGCGCAACAGTGGCGGATCGGACGCTTTCAGTAGCTTCATCGAAATGGGGGAAGAGATGGACGGGCCCCGAAGCATCCCTTCGAGTCCTGGAAGCAAAGACAAAACACCGAGTGAGAGCTCTTCTAATGAGAACGGCTTCACTTTCGAGGAGCTGGTAGACCGGCTGGTCGCACAGCCGATGTCGAAGCATGACTCCAAGTTTGCATCCATCTTCCTGTGCTTGTACCGCAAATTCGCCGCCCCTTCCTCCTTATTGACCGCCTTGATCAACCGGTTTGAGCGAAACGAGCGAGAGATTTCGGATCAGCTTACGCGCATTGCCGATCAATTGAGACTGCTAACCGTCATGGCTCAGTGGGTGTCGGAGTACCCGGGTGACCTGGTTTATCCCAAAACGCAGAAACGGATTGCCGAGTTTGTTGCCAACCTCGAGAAAAGCCATTTCTACATGTTTGCTGCCAAAGAGATTGGGTCTTATCTTGAGGCCAACGCGGAAGATGATAATATCGGGTGGCCGTTCAGAGATGGCGAGGTAGAAGAGGTCGAAGCAACCGAGCCTGCTTTTCAGTATTCGGGTCGAAGCTCCCCGTCGATCTTCCTCGGACCCCCTCCGCTGAGCGATGAGGGTGATGAAGAGGAAGAAGATCCTATCTACAGTATGAGTGCGTTGGACCTCAGTGAGGGCGCACTTGAGTCAGGGTCGAGGATGTCTGCGTCCATGTCGAATTCTTTCACCGCCGAAAAGCCCGGGACTGTGGCAAGTCAGTCGTTTACGGCCTTGAACATCGACTCGGCCCAAAAGGAGGCTCGACACTTAGATTTGACACCCCGCGTGCCGTTGACGAAGGTGCAATGGCGACAATTCATGGAAATTCCTGATGAAGATTTTGCTCGTGAATTGACGCGCATTGATTGGATTATGTTCAACTCCTTCCGACCACGAGACCTCGTCCGTCATGTTAGCATCACCGGTGCCGACAAGGACAAAATCCACAGCCTCAAGAACGTCAATCGAATGATCAAACAGTTCAACCACGTGGCATGCTTTGTTGCGAGCGTCATTCTCCTCCGGGACAAGCCTAAACACCGGGCCAAGGCGCTGGAGAAGTTCATGAACATCGCATTTGTAAGTTCTAGGGAGTGTGCCTTGTTTGTGTGCTGCAACTAATCCTAGTGGGTAGAAACTCCGACGACTGAACAATTACAACTCCCTTGGGGCTGTCATTGCCGGGATCAATGGAACCCCGGTACACCGACTCTCGCAGACTCGGGAGTTGGTGCCGACGCAAACGCAAAAGGACTTCATGAGGCTGGTCATCCTCATGGGAACACAGAAGAGTCACTTCGCCTACCGCCTGGCATGGGACAACTCATTCGCAGAGCGAATCCCGTTCCTGCCGTTGCACCGACGCGATCTGGTTTCGGCGGAGGAAGGAAACAAGACATTTGTGGGTGACATGAAGACCCGAATCAATTGGCGCAAGTTCGAGGTGATGGGCGAAGTGGTGCTGGGGATCCAACGGAGCCAAAAGACACCCTATCCACACCTGGCGCGATTCGACGAAGTGACGCGGCTGATTTTAGACATCAAGCTGTCTGGTGATGACGAGGTATGTTTTTTGCCAGCGTTTCAAAACAGAGAGGATCTGACAGAGAACAGGATTTGTATACACGCAGTATGCAGGTCGAGCCCTCCGCTGGCGGTGACACCGGACGGAAGAAGTTTGGCTGGTTGCGGTCCTAATGGGACGCGAGAGCGTATAATGACCACTACGGAGATACAGCATGCGCAAGAGTGCAGGCTGACGAGGACCATGAATGTTACGATCGTCGGTTTGATGATGTACATACATACAACATACATACATACATACACACATACATACATACACTTTATTGTAAGATACCATGTAGTCAGTATACCCTGTTACTTGATAGCCAGGCCAGCTATTTTCGAACCACGTTTTTTACTAGGTAGGGTCCAGTATAATTGATCCGGGGGGACGAATTGATCACGTGAAGCTAACCGGCCCGAACCTCGCCCTCCGATAACAACCTCCGCAGAGATAGAACAGGTTCAGAATCATACCTCTCTCCAAAGAACCACAGCATCCACCTCCTTTCCTGTTTGCTGAACATCTCAAAACAAATCTCAACCCATCCACTCACCACCAACAAACCCACAAGAACACACCACCAAAAACCACACCCAACCCAACCTCCCTCTTCAAAAAAAAATGTCCGCCTCCGTAAAAACCACCTACCGCGCCCTCCTCCGCGAACTGCCCCGACGCAGCCTGAACACACCGACCCCGCTGCACGCGAGCATCCGCAAACTCTACGAAGAGCAGGTGGTGTCTGCATCGAAGACCGGAACAAATGGGGGCAGCGCTGCCGCCGCCGCCGCCGCCGACGCCGCGCAGGACACGCTCGCCCACCGCCTGCAAGAGGCGGAGCAGTTCGCGCAGTACGCCCGCGCGCAGCGGCAGTACGCCGAGCTGGTGGAGCGGTATAACCCTGGCAGCTGGTTGGATGAGGAGGAGCGGATTCGGTTGACGGCGAGGCGGGTGGGGTTGGATTTGCCGGTTGAGGGGAAGGGGGCTGAGGAGTGATTTCGGGGTCTTTTTGTCAAGGAAGGGGG